TTGACATTGTCTAGTCACTGACTTTTCAGTTTTGCCTAAGGCTACATAACATTGAATAGTTTACACCTAATTTACCAATTCTGTCAATACCGTCCTTAACTCTAGGGTATGCTAATTCTAATAAAATGACATTGTAATAAAAGTGCTTTAGCTTTGGCAAAATTTGATTCATAAATTCCTTATTATAGGGGGTGTTTTTGATAATAATATTTTCACCATCAGAGGCTACAAAATGAGCCCATGTTCTTTCTGTGCAAAACATCTGTAGTTGCACTTGATGGTAGTATGGATGATTAACATTAAGTTCTGATGATCCATCAATTTCCTTGATAATATGTTGTCTTCTGAGAGCTTCTTCTAATGTCTCGCCTTCATGAGGGTGTACTCTTTTCACTTCAATGACCCCTTTCTTGCCTAAGAGTCCATCTGGAGATGCACCAAGGAATGGGTGTGACTTAGATACAAAAAGTCCACATTGTTCTACTTTGTTTCCTGTCAAGCTTGAATACTGCCTGATGGTTTTAGATTCAGAATTTATACCATCCCTCATGTATTGTGATTCATAGTGTTTGTTATAGCCAAGAATGTCTCTCATAGCCTTAGTGGGACTGGTTCTTTCTTWAACCAGAGCACGCTTGCATTGAGATGCTGTGATGCGGGGTAAGCGTTCTTTGAACCATACATTACTATTTGACTGATCTTGTGTTGACTGTTCTRTTTGCTTTACCTTAACATCATCAACAGCAATGTATTCTAGTATAGATTGTGTTCTCTGAAATATATCTTGTAAAGATGCTGGATGAACATCAACAGGGCTTAGGCTATCAACACTGCTATCAGTTTCAGTGCAATCAGTTTCAATTTCAACTTCAGAACAATATAAAAGGTTAACATCATCTGCTTGTAATCTATCTGGTAGATTATTGATAATCGGTACACTGATGTTTGGATCTCTTTTTGATCCAAGGATATGATAGATAGGTGGCAGTGGCTTTCCTTCATTTGCTAGGAAAATGTTGTGTTTCAAGTCTATTTTGCACTCCTCCATCAAATTCCTTTGCGTCTCATCAATACCATAGTATGCCTCTGTCACAGATGGAGATGGTTTCACTTTCTTTTGTGGTGGCTCTTTACCAAATTTAGCCTTGTAAAAATTGATGTCTTCAACAAGAATTTGTTCAGTCTTTGCTCCTAAAAAAATTAACAAAATATGAGACATCTGTTTTTWAAAATGAAATGAATTATATACATAAAAAGGTATCCTCAATATTAGTGTTCTTATAAATGCATGTATATAATCACCTTTTGGGTTTGACCAAGAGCAAGGTAAATCAGTGCATGTGGRATCTGGAGGAAGATGCTGTTGACCTTCAGCTACAACATCACACAACATAAACATCAGAGCTCCAATATGGCTGCAGTCCCCTCTCAACCTAAGGAAATAATATGTCTTACATTAGTTATGAATTGAATGCAGTGAAAATCAAAAAAAGTACAGTAACTTACCCAACAGTGCACGTGCAGTGAGAGAACACTGGCTTGCTAGTTGAGCTGTCAAGMACTAGGTACATCAATTTGCTTTCTTCGTTGTCTGTAGAAAACGATGGGTTGCAACTGGCCCTTAAAGCCCAAACATTTTCATAGTCGGCTAGTAAATTGACTCTAAAAAGAAAGCAAAGTCAGAATATAAGTTTTAAGCAATCAAGCAGTTGATATGAAGCATGATKACTTACTTTACAGAGTGAATCCCTTGCTTGTGTTCCCATGAACGAAGGGTCTTATACTTGCGAACTGCTTGTTGCTTGTAGCCAGCTMCAATCAAGAATTCCTTCACGATCCACTCCTCCATCAATAGAGGGACTCCTTTTAAGCTTTTTTCCCAGTTCTTAAGCTTTTGTAGACAAGTAAGCGATGGAATGTTCGTGGATACATCGGTTTGTTTACCGTGAGCCGGGCCTGAGGTCGAGATATTTAAACCATTGCAAACGACATTTACGAGTGCTTTTTTGCCGATCGACTTTTCAAAATCAATTGATAATGCTCTACAGAGCTCTTTCAGTTTGGGTTTTGTTGAACTAGAGACTTCTTTGTAAGTTTTTGGATATTTTAAACAAGGCTTGTTTTGTGTCGAACCAGACGCCATGTTGTTTATGATGGTTACCCCCCAAGGCGCAAGGCATTATGGGTTGGCGCAAGAAGAGAAT